GGGGAGTTCGATCTTCTAATGTTGCTTTATATTATACTGTTGTAGGAATGTCAAGATTATCGATACTTAGCTAGATAATAGTGGGTTCGAAAACATTTGGTGTCTGTCTGCTTTGATTTTCCTAACAACAAAAATACCCCAATCTGATGAAAAACGGGACATGTTTACCTACAGACTGAGGTTGTGAACGGGATTCTGATTTTGTTATCTTTGCTCTACTGTCTGTTACTCAGACCAGCTAGTTCCTCGGATGTTGGGTTTGTTTATGTCCGTGAAATCCTATTACATGGAATAGTCTCATTTGCGTAATTTGAACCCATAGATTATATTGTTATTATGCACCGAACGCAAGAGAAGATGACATGAAATTCAATAGTAGCGGGAACTGAAATCAGACTGATGATTTGGTTCTGGAAAGGGAGGAGGGGGGGGGCAACTTGTTTTTCTCCTTTTCTCTTGCTGAACATTAATTCTTCTTAGTGTTCGTATCTTGGCCTATTTTCCCCGTCTGTTTCGCACCTGCAGCCACAATAAAGGTCTTATTTGCGGACAGTTTTCATCTGAAGACAATGAGTTTTCTACTCAGAACAGGCCTTTGGTAATGTCACACCACATTAAAATGTGGCTTTCCTGCTTGAAAAGTAGCAATAAAGTAGTCTTTCGAGATCGTTTGTCTCGATGGTTTTTTATGTCTTTTTGTTTGTTTGTTTGTTTGTTTGTTGGTTGGTTGGTTGTTTGTTGCTGTTTTTTGCAACGTTGGGGATAGCATGTAGTTGCAAACGCTGTTCTATTACCTGTCAATTGGTTTAGTGTCATATTAGTTTTTTCCTACGTTCAAAGTAAAAAATGGCAACAAATTAGAGCCTTGGCAGACGTAACACATCAACAAACAGACAAGACAAAAACTCTTTTTTCCTTCTCTTCGCCTGACATAGATAAACATCTTTTCTCAAGAAAGAAGTAATGCCCAACACACGGGGTTTTTAAGAGGGAGAATGATTCAACGTTTTAAGTACACTGTTTTTTTCTCATTAAGATAGTGCTCGAATTTGAACAAAAAACAGACATACAACACATAGCTGCTGAACCACCTATCTTAAATTACAGTACCGTCGGGGACTTTAGTCACCAGGCGTAGTTATTTTTTAAGAATTCTACCGCGGCTTCAGCGTTGTAAACTGGTGCGGTACTTGAGGTTTTTCTCTATATAAGCCTTCAGTACTGTAAGTCTATCTTTTTCCCAAATGTGGACGGAGGATTTTTCTTAAAAACCAAGCCTAACCTAAGAAGTTCGCTCAGTTTATATCATGGATAATTGTTTTATGTGGATGGCCTTGGTTCGAATCCCCAAACGAGTGTTCTTGAACGTGGGTTGTCTCGAGAGTTTTCAAGTCTTTCCACAAACATGTATTTGGCTCAGTGCTGTCGAAGACAGATGTTAAATTTCGGAACTCCTACTTCTTAAATAAGCTGACAGTGTTGAAGGAGGCGTTACAACCGTACGTTTACCAGTATCATTTTCTTAGCCACCATATTCTGCATCTGTCTATAAGAACCGTGGTTAGCCCTGATAGACAAAACATATTTTCGTACCAACGACTTACATCCTCGAAGTAGCAGCCATTGCCATAGCTATACCGTAATAAATTATGCAAACATAACATTCCATCGTGAAAAAAATGTTCTGCATTGTGCCAGCCTAAGTGCAAAACATCAACAATCATAAATGATCAGAGTTATTATGTTAAAACGTATTTATTTCGTACGAAAGACTTACATCCTGGGAGTAACAGTCAATATAGGAGCTTGTTATAATATCAACCTATGTACATGAAACATTAAAATTTCATTCTGAAAAAAACCCTATCTAAATTGTGTTAGTTGGAGTGCAAAACATTGACAATTACGTTTTATTCACTCAAACATTTGTGTGACCTGTCAGGTACCGAGACTTCATGGACCAGACTAACAACACGGTGTACGGCACAGACTTCCCTCTGAGGGCGTCCTTCCCCACAGTCACAGAGATGATGATGAGTCTATGGATCATTGGTGAGAACACTGACAGCATAACGCGCTTGTTAATAGTTTGTGTGTGAGTGTACGTGTGTGCGTGAGTGTGTGTGTGTGTGTATGTGTTATGTGTTGGTGTGTGTGTGTCGCTCTCTTTCTGTCTGTCTGTCTCCCCCCCCC